TAAAATTTAATCGGGTACCTAGAGCCTCATGAAGAGCCTTTCAGAATTACGACACAAACCTTGGATCTCATTCAGAAATAACATATAAGGGAACCCACCAAGACGAATCATAATGTGATTGAGTGGGATTCAATCAAGATCACACCCAACACTATTACAAGAGGTCACTTATATAATCAAATTATCGTACCGAACTAGAATTTTATCATAACTCACAATTGTAGACGAATTTGGAAGATCATTTAATTACAAGGCATATTTCTTCATAAAAAATTTCTTAACAAATCTAGAATTTTTGATTAAATTTTCCTGATATAATTGAACATAATGTTGAAACCCATATATGAACTAATTTTCTTTACAAGAGGAAATCAAGAATAAATTCAAAATTCCTAATAAAGTTTATTTAAGAAGGACTAAAGAGTGTTAAAAGCAAATCAAATACATATGCATTTTTTCCAATTCAGGAGTTGATTCTATTGTCTCTATTCTGATCGATATTGACTATTGTTTTTAATAAAGGATAAGTTCATATTATGAAATAAATTATAACTTTTCAAACGATAATCTTATGAAGCAAATTGTAGCATTGAAGCAAGTAAACTTTCTAAAAAGATCCTCCAGAATAAGAAATCATCATCTAAGTAGAATAGTTATCATGTGTTATTCCTAGATAAGATCGGTCAGAATTATAATAATTTTCAAATTGATTCACTTAAATTGACTTTAGGAAATTCATGGCGATCATTATTTAACTAACGATTAATTTCTAGAATTCAAATCTTAGAACTGAAGTAATTAATTAATGTGTCTAAACATCATCATATATAATTATTAGACTTATGTCTACATAACAAACATTAAACTAAGATTACAAAAAAGTAGTAATTATCCTAAATGACATTAGAGTCCCGAGAGTTTCAGAAAATACTTAAAAATCTTGTGGCATGATTTTTCAAAAATATATATTTTTTGTACTTTTCTATGCAAATTTATTTAAAATAATTTCTAGAGTTATAGTGGTCTACACAGTCCAAGAGTTTAATCTGGCTCTGATATCACTAAGTGTACCGGTCTAGGATTTACAACTGAGTCAAGGTAGTCACGTTGACCTCAAAAATGGTTTACGTATGAATTTTTTTAATAAATCATTTTAAAAATATTTACTAGTTATAATATCATAAATAAACTCATGTCACCGCTAAAAGAGGTTGAAAACAAATGTTTAACCTCATATAGTATGAAATCAAGACGACTCATCTGATAGCTAAACTAGTTTTACATTTAGATAATCTAAAAATGTAAACAAAAATAAAGTGAGCTACAAAGGTCAGCATGCCCTCTAAATACAAATAAACATTCATTCAAACATGATATAATAAACAATACAATACTTAAGCAATAGTAAAAACAAATATTTATCACCAAAAGATCATACAAAATTTCTCACAACCTTACAGTTTGTTATAGAGGAACAAAATGAAGAACATTACATGCTGAAAGGTACCTGAGACCTCCAAAGGTGGATCCAGAGTATAAAATAGAAATCAAGACGGGGACGTTACTCTTCGAAGAGGATCCTGAGTTAACCACCGAGGAGGCCCTCAACAGAAATTAGAAATTAGGGTGAGGATAATGCCCTCCGAAGAGGATATCATTTAGAAACAAAAATCAAGATATGGATATAAGCTTCAAGAGAGGATCCCAAATAAAAACACGACAAGATTGCCCTCAATAGAGGATAACATGCAAAAATAGGACTGGATATTCCCTCTGTAGAGGAACCCATACATATAAAAAAAACATTAATATACATATTAAAAATGATACAATATTAATTAGAAATCAACATGTCACATATAATCATGATCAGATTATTAACATGCATACATATAGAATCTTATAACATAATATTATAAAATATTAAATGTATCAAATGGGTCAAGGGGATAAACCTATACCAGCTAATTTTTATTGGCTAAGCTTTACGCTTCTCACGAACAATAGTACTAGGTCCCACGGAATGAAAACCTAATGATAATATATTACTATAAATGGTATGAAGTAATTCATAATTAAATGTAATTAACTACTAATTCAATTAATAACACCAATGTGTATCTCGAATTGAACGTGCGGAGTCGAGCTAAGCTGAACAGAGGCGATTCAAACCTAATAGAGAGTGATGCAAATACATGTGATCACCTTTAGAATGTAATATCAAAGAGTAAGATTATAGATTTCAAATTTTACTTAACATAACTATATTATAAATCACTAATAGATGAAAAACATGGTTTTTGGGTTAGAATTCAACAAAACAAACTGAGGAAACATACTTAGGACGTCAAAAAAGTCAGGATAAAAGTCTTCAAAAATTAAGTCAATAGGTCAAAGTTTAAGTCATAGTCAATGATCAAAGTCAAAGGTCAACTGATCATGTCAAAATCAATGGGTTGGGTCAAATTTAATGGGTCGGGTCTGGTTCTATGAAGGTGGTTCAGTCAAGGTGGTTCAATCAAGGTAGTTCAGACTGGTTCGACTATATCGTTTTAGTTAATTAAACCGAGTTGATCAGTTTGTAAAGAAACAAATCCACACGTGTGGTGACAACGTGTGTAGCGTGAACCACCCTCTGGTGGTCGGTTTCATACTAAAATTTTTATATTTTCTTATTAAGGCATGGGGAGTCTCGTACTAGCCTTATTCTACGATGGTGGCTAATGGGGGAGTGGTGGAGCAAAGCTTGAATATGCTAGAAATTTTCCTCCAACACATCTCACGAATGGCAAGGACACAAGAGGTAGCACAGAGCTCGGCAGACTCGGAACGATGTGGACAAAATGCTAGCACCGACGATGTAACCCACGGTGGCTTAGACGACGGTGAATCGGAGTAGAACCAAAAATGGGAAAAAGATAAAGAGCGAGGGGCTAAAATACGATTGAACCAAAAAATGAAATGGAGGTAAAATAAGTATTTGAATGTTTTAATTTTAGGGTTAATTATATAATAAGTCCTTGCATTTTTATAATCTTGCAAAACAACGCTAAACTTTTACGAGCCTAGCATTTAATCACCAATCAGATGTGACAAGGTATCTCAAGGTCCTTTCATTTTGGCACAACTCATTAAATTTGTTATAACAAAATCCTAAGCCATTATCAATGTGGATGCATTTTAATTATTTCCATGTTGGTTTCTCGATCATTGTCTTCCAATTTTTGAATACAGAGACTACATCACTTTTCTTCTAAAGAAAGAAGGTTGAAACCTTCCTAGAGAAATCATCAATGATTGTTAACATATAACTATCACCTCCTCTGGAAGGTACTCTAGACGAACCCTAAAGATCAAAATGTATATAGCCTAGAGTGCTTTCGTATTGTGGAAACATTTTTATAGGTTGTAAACCAATCTGATTGGGATACATATAATAAGTATACTTTTTTTTTATCTGAATTTGACATAAATGAGTTTAGAAATATCTCATTCGATTCAAAGTTCAATTTAAATTTTGAGATAAAAATTTACATTTGACCTAATATGAATATAAAAAATATTATTTTTTACATTTATTTGATTAATTAAGAATCTAATTAAAAAGAATAAATACAGGAGTATTATAGTAACTATCCTAAATATATATAAGAAAACTATACTATTATTCTAAATTGGGTCGGGTAAAAAAAATCATCCTAAAATGGATTTCGATCCGATCTCACTCTTTTTATAATCGGACCCAAATCAAACTCAATTTTATTAAAAAAAATTTATCATATCAAATCAGATTAGATTAAAACTCATGAAATCTAACCACACATATAAGGAAATAACTAAACAGTTAATAATATATTAAAAGTCAAATAGGTAAGCAATAAAAATGGAACGGAAATGGAAGGCAGGTCATTCCGAAACCCTATGTATTTGTTTTCTCAGGACAACTAAAAGGAAATATGTTGAACTGAAATGATCTCCATTTAAATATCATATGAGAATCACAGAGTTGTGTATTCTATGTTTTGACAGACCATGGGGTAGCAATATGAAGTCTTTGTCTGCTGGATTTTCTAACTCAATTTTAACTGCTTATGGCTTTAAGTTGCAACTTAAAACACATCAAATTTTATATTCAATTATTCCCAACAACCGTATAACATAATCACTCACTAAACTTGAGATCGTTTTCATTGATTATTCGTAGTAGGTAGATGGGTCAATGTGTTATGATGATAAGAGTGTTTCGTGCCGCCCAGGTTTGAGTCAGGCACCCATGCACAAAAGACAATGGTCTATCTTATCATGATTATTATTATTTTCTAATATATATGTATGAGAGAATGTACAATGAAACCCTTATTGTATTTTAAATCTCTTTTTCTTAGAGATTGATATCTCATTAATTCATCATGTAGTTTCAATAGTTAAATAAAATATGTGCATTTAAGTATGTGTTTTATTAAAAAATAAAAAACATTCTAAATAAATACTATATATTATTATCGCGTACTATTCAGAAAATTATTTCGCCATTTCTTAGGTCTATATTATTTTTTCATTCAATCTCATAATATTTTCATTATATATTAGTGTTAGATTATTTACTCTACGTATTCTATTTGTTATTATAAAAGTATTATCTTTTTTTTTTAAATGTATATTTGATAGGATATATGAAATTATTATTTTTAAATTTTAGAACCTCCATCTTTATTCTATCATTTAATTTGAAAAAAAGAAACAAATCGTTTAAAGAACTATGAATCGATGTATGCCGAAATGAGCAAGTTTTTTATTTTGAAAAGTGAATGTAGGACGGGATATTGGATATTTTTGTATGGAACGATTTTGGTAATTACTTGTTTTGTTTCAACTTTCAATATGTGCCTATTATATATAAAATTATTATTTTATCTTACTATATATATAACTATTAAAACAACATAGGTATAAGAATTGTGCTATAATAAATCCTAAGTTCTTTTATGACTTATATTTTATGTTTAGACACTTGTATACGCTGCAACGGTGTCATGCTATAGCTATATGGCACACCATTTATTGATCCACCAGTCAGCATGTACTGGGGCACGGCATATGGTGGCATTGGCGGCAGTGGTGGAGGAGACGATGATGTAGGTGGCACCTCATTATTTTAAGCCAACTGCTGGGTGGTGGTCACAGCATTGTGTTGGAGAGATTCAGGATGCGGGAATGGCGAAACTGAAGCTTGAGGATTATGAGATGGAATGTAAGACTGGTCATTCTCAAGCTTAGGCCTCTTCTCAGAAGGGTAATCACCAGACGAGTCTTTTAAAGGATTACCAATGACACCATCAGAAGCAAGAGAAGACAAGACATAGGAAAGTATCTCGGCAGAGGAAGTTGATGCAGTTAGCTTTGCAGCTACTGCAGCAGCTGCAGATTTCCGAGGATCTTCCCCAATGTGGCCAGAATTATCAACAAATGATGCTTGCAGGGCGTACATCACAGGAGCTGATTGCTCCGTAGCTGATGGAATAAAACTTTGAGCTGCAGCAGATGATATAGATTCCTTTGAACTTTGCTCAGCTACCAACTGGGGATTGTTAATATTTAAATGTTGTCTGCAGATATTAGCAGCATGTTCTGATCGGGACCTTGCAGCCTGTATGAAATTATGAACATGTTCAGAATGACGTACTTATGGAAGTTGTAATATTTTAAAAATATATATATTCTGAGTTATAAATGTATATGGCGTCATACCTGAAGCTCAGTAAGAACTTGCTCCAACTTGAACTCCTGGCAACAAAAGTAAATTAGTTTTATTTTAAAACAGCTACAACCATTATTTTTGTAATTAGATTAGTTAGTCTAAGTAACCTGCTCCTGAAGAGCCTCTCTCAAATATGGGACTAGACTAGCTCTTGATGAGGCAACAGCTGTTAGCTGCTCGATGCAGTCTCTCAATAAAGCATGCTGACTCTGGACCTCCTCCACAAGTGCAGATCCATTGAACTTCCCTGTTTAAAGGAGCTAACTTCTCATCAAGCAACAAAAGTATAACTCAGATATGCTAACAAAATGAGGAATGCAGGTCATACCTGTATTGACGTCGGTACAGATTTCTTTATCTACCTTCTCAATACAACTAATAGCGTTCCAACATTTGCTGAATATAACATCTTCATCCATCTGACCACCATAAATGACCTGATAGCCTGAAACTATTTTGTCAACCGTATTTTTAACAGGTTGCTTCTGCTAGGAAAAATATAAAGGTAAAATGACATTAGTCCATAACAAAAACATAAGTTCCAAAATAACAGAATGCATTCCAAAAGGAATTTATGTTACCAACTTGAGGCCTACATGCCTGCCATTTCGATTATTGTTTTCTGCCTGCCTGCCAACAAGCTCTTCCTTAAGAATTTGTCCTTGTGAACCAAATACTTTTCTCTCTTCCCATATACTGATCTACATATCAAAATAAAAGGAAAAGAGGTATATATTTATCACCTACTTTTGAAATGACCATTTGAAACTGTATGACAGTAAAAATTTAAAGCTCATATAATTGAAAGAAAATACTAAAAAATCACGCACAATGTCGTAATAAAGTGAACAAAACACCATACATTGTCCAATGAACTCTCCACTAACAGCATTTGAATTGTCAAAAGTTAGACAAACACCAAGTCATTGAACTCAACCTGGAAATATAGTTGTACTAAAACAAAATTTCAACTGCTGGACCTTGATAATTTAATAATCCCCACTAGAAAAAATGCAAATACTTTAAAAAAAATCAGAATTCTGTGGATACCGATACAAATGTTTAAAAACTTAGCCTATGACAGTTACAGACATTTATTAGAATAACAAGTACATGATAAGTGAGGATTGACAAGATTTAAAATAGAAGCGAAAACAGAAGAATAATGTCATCATACTATGAATATCAACTTGGCATTATCAGATTAACTTTGTTCTGTAACATCACATTCTAAAGGAACGTAACTGCAACCACTCAGCTCTTCTATTTGACAAGAAAAGTTAAGCACTTTATTTCTGTCACCATGTATAGGGGCCGTGAAACACATTTAACCCTTCACAGAGATTTTAATTAAGAGCCCAAGAAAGCAAGATTGGCATGAAAGTTTAGGTTGCTATACCAGGCGCAATGCAGCATTCCTTGCAAATTCATCTCCATTTTCAATCACTACACGGAGAGCATTAGGAAGAACTTTCTCAGACCCCTTACGCCTGCTATTCTGCAAAATATCATTGGCAAGATACAGAAAGGCCAATCTCTGCTCACGTGGAGAGCAATGAAATTGTCTATCCCAAGTTTCGACAACTTGTTTTGCCTTATTCATATGGAAAATACACCAATGTGATAAAGCTTAACAAGTTAAGGATGCAAAAATAAGCTTTAAAAGTTCAATTGCCGTATCATACATGGCAACCAGATAAAAATGTTAAAGAGACATAAGAAATAAATTATCATTGAGAAATTATAAGTATCTGCTCAATTATTACCACAGACAGTTGGAGAAAAAACATGACCAGACAATGAAACAAAGATTGGCCAAAAAATAACTGCCCTATGTAGACAAAGAAATAATTATTTTTCAAAAGGATACTCTCGATGCTCGCTTGTGAGTTATTAAGCTTGGCTAGCTTTTCCACCAAGATTCGAGCATTAAATGAACTGCCCATTGTTGCGATTGAAGGGATGAAGAAAAATGACAGACAATAGAGACCTTCGAAATGCAACTTTCCAAAAGAAGCTGCTGCATAAAAAACAAAATATACATGCTAACTAAGCAAAACTATATTGAATTTTAAGGTCCATATAAATGATACTGATCATTTTAAAGTGAAAGAAAGATGCCCAATAAAAGTATCCTCCAATAAAGGTGAAGCTTCTATAGCAATAATCTTACCCAATATTCCACAGCTAAACAGTTTCTGGTTCCTGAAGGTATTCAAAATTTTATATTTTTCCTCTTTTTAATAGGATATATCATTCAATTTCATCTATTTCACTGCTAATGGAAAAACAAATTGTTCTCAGCTCTCCTGTTACCTTACTAATCAGAGAATATCATGAAATACTGATACTTAAATCACCATCAGTTGGCTTCAACTTATGAAAAGAAAAATGAGAGGGAATTTCCTATTTGAGAAACACAGTTGTGAATTTGATGCAGCTTCCTTGAGCTAAAAATAATAATATTGAAGCTAACGAACTTGAAATCAAGAATAAATTATCAATTAAAAAGAAATTTTGCGCTGCCAGAATAATGAATAAATAGATAAAAAAACCCAAAGAAATAGATAATGGAAGAGGAGAAGAAAAAGAGAGAACCTGGAAAAGGCGACAGCTGGTGACGCAGGCCACAATCAACGGCGGGTGAGCATAAAAAGTTGGTCGATTTCTGTCGTCATGGAGTGAAGAGCACCTGTTTAATTTGGGGATTAGGGTTTTCTTTCAAAGTTGGGTTGCAGAGGGTTTCGTGCGGTTAACTGTACGAACTGGAATTTTCGGCTCCTCTTTTGAGTTTGGAATCCAAAACCCAAATTTTTCCTTCTTTTATCTCTAAATATTAGAGTTTTATCATATGACGCCTCTCAAAAATATACATTTCAATATCTTCTAAAATAATTTTATTCAATTTTGAAAGCTCACGAAATCATTATTTTATATTTTTTTACTTTTAAAATTTTATAACTTCATTCTTCTAATATAAATAGTGGCTGTGTTTAAAGAAAATATCATACCTTCTTTAGTAAACCCACTTCTTTTACATGAGATTGTGATTCTCGCTTATAAGCATGGAAAGCACTGCGATCTGCTGGCTACCCTGCGAGGATCTTAGTACCGTGGATATCCCTCTCCGTTGGCTAGATGAGTGCTTGCTGATCTTAGGCACTGAAGAGTTTGCAGGTTTGATTACTCATCTTTCAAATTTATGAAACGGTCGTAACGTATATATTCATGATGACAGGTTACAGCCCACGTGACTCATTGTCGCGAATGCATAGATTCTGCATCGGGGTTTCTTGGAAGCATCTCGATCTTGGGGTCGCTAACTTAGAGGAATTGGCTCATGCTGCCTCATCCTTTCGCTGGAAACCTCCTCCCTCTGGTGTTGTGAAACTCAACCTAGATGGTTCCTTGGATCCTATCATGGGGACTGCTGCGATGAGGATCATAACTCCGCATCATAGGTCCGATTGGGGGGCTTGCTCAGTTGATGGGGAGTGTCTTTCAACCCACCCTGGTAGAAATCTATGCTTTTGTTGTGACCTTGGATCTTGCTATAGAAAGGCAACGGGGGGATGTTCACTTGGAGTTTAATTGTGATATCATGGCTAATAAATTACTTGGTGATGAGGAGGAAATATCTACCCTGACGTTATACCTTCATCAAGCTAAAAATCAGTTCAAGACGTTTCTGGGCTTTTATATTTCATTAGTTGAAAGATCTCGTAATATTATTGCAGATAGTTTGATTAAATGAGCCAGTACGAAAAGTCATTATTTTTTTACTCGGTTTATCTTAAGATTATTTCTACGGAGGTAGAGAACAATGTAAGGTTTATTTGATTTATATAATCTCAAGTACTCTTTCCCCTTCGCAGGTTAATATTGGATAAGAGATTTTTAACGGGTCTGTTAAATTTTAAAGAAGAAAATAACATTTAGCTAGTTATAAGCACTTTCTTGTACATATAATTCTCACAAATTTCTGTTCTCGTAATCCTTTCTAGATGTTTATTATATAAATTAGCAAATTAATATAACATTTAAATTAGGATGTTCAAATTCGGATATCTGAAATATCGGGTACTCTGTGTGTCTGAGTACACTAAAAAATCGGCTCATAACCCGACTCGTCATATCTAGATACAAAATAATTCGGGTACTCGCAAAATTCGGATAGTCGTTAATTCAGCTAATAAGGTACCTGATTTCTCCCTTTTTTTTTTGTTGAAACAATGATTTCTCCCTTTATTTATTTCATTTTCCAGTTCCAAACATGCATTAACATAAAAGGTTGAAAAGAATTAAAGAGAATTTCATGCAATTAAGCAATCATCATTCAATAAGTCAGTGATCTCTATCAACACAATCACGTAGTTAAAACATAAATCCAACAATCTACAAAAGAATTAAGTAAAATTAAAAATCCAAACTCGATTAATATAGATCACCAAAAAAATCCAAACTGATTACCTTAAAACTCATAAGAAAGTGCAAAAACAAAAAGACTCCTTTAAACGAGACTAACCCGTGAGGATAAGTAGCGTGAGGAACTAATATCCCGAGAGAGAGTTGGTTGGCTTTGGGTCTTTGGCTGCTTGTTAACGAGTGACGAGGGGAGCACCGATCGAGATGGGAGAGAGGTGATCGACGTTTGACGTTGACGAGATCGTGCGAGAGGGATTAGGGATTGCAAGTTTACAAGTTGATGTTGAGAATCGGATACCTACTAGTGTTTTAGTAAAATAATATAAAAATTAAATTAAATTAATTTAAAAAAGAAATCGATATCGGGTTGGTAGATTTCCGGTTAAATGATTTTTCTGATATGTACCTGATTTAAAAACTCAAAAAAATTAACGGATCAGGTACCCGGCATGCAACTTCGAGTATATTTTCATCATAATATCCAATATTTTTCTTTTGGGTAAACGGGTCGACGAATCGGGTCATTCCGATCAAATATTTTTAAACACTTCTCGTTTAAATTACTCGGTTTGTAGGGTCCAAATAAACTAGGAAAGCATGAGATAATCTAATAGAAAAAGTTCATGCATTTCGATAGTCGTGTAAATGAATGATGACTTCTTTTTAAGATAATCTTTGGATATTTCTTAATAGGTCATTCACATAGATAAATTCTCTATGTAACATCCTTAATTCCAATTCCTCATAATTTATTTGAATATGATGACTAAAAAATGTAGTACTAACAATATTATTCTTTTGAGCATCCGAGATTCACACTATTAATTATGGATCATTAAATGTCTTAATAATCCTATCTTAGAATTAAGAATATATGATCTAATGGGCTAAATTGGAAAATTGAGTAATCAGTTGAAATGAATGAGAGTTAAAGTTTTTATATTGTATTTAGAACAAGTTAAATTGTTAGTGATTTTTGTTGGATGAATGGATATAATTATTATTATTTTTTGAATAATCTTCGATGAATGGATATAACTATTGTCTAGAAAGGAAAATTCAAAGAAATGGTGTTTGGTTACCTTGTAATTAAGGTAAAAAATCATAGACCTTATTCCATCATTTTTAGTTCATGCATGAGCTTCAAGTTGAAATATATGACTAATCTTTAGTTTTGTTGTGTTTCAATGTGTATGTTGTTCGTAATGCCCATGAAGGGTCTGGGGATAGCATCCCACATTGGGATAAAATATCCCTTGTGAAGGGTATTTAAAGAGTCTCATCTTTCCTCGTTTGTTGAATGTGGATGAGATAACTCCCTCGCATGAGCGCGTCATCGCCGTTCGGCTAGCTCGGTTCGATTCGTGGTTGCGATCGTGGTCGTGGTAATACGTGTCTTCGACACATCCACACGTGCTATCATTTTAGGACAAATCCAGAAGAATTTCTATAAAAATTTATCTTTGTAAAAAAAATTGAAAATTTTCAAATGATATTTATAGGCGAATAAATATTTTAACCCTGAAGCAAGCCTATAAATAGAAGACCATTTTGAGCTTTTCAAATCATCCAAACACAATCTGTTTTATGCTTTCAAAAACTCTCCACTCTCTTACTATTTTCTAAAAAAACTTTCTACTTTTTTTTCCGATGCTAAGAGAAGAGCAATACCACCACAGTTCACTCCAATCTTCGAGTGTACGAATTTTGGAGATATAATGTTAACTTCAGGGGACAACCACCTACTGCAACGATTACACACATCGAGGCAAAATCATTTCTAAGGCATTGGTTTCATACCACAGTACGGTTTATTCCTTGTTATTTATTTTATTTTTATTATTATCTAGTTAGTGCTAACAATTTGATTTTACAGTACATTTTGCCAACAATTTAGAAACAATTTATTATTGTAAATTGTCGAATTCCATTACCAAGCTTGTTCCTGATTTATCCAAGCTCGATGCACTTTATGGGACCAATTATCGAAGGTAGTCTCAGCGGATAATCATTTTCTTCAAACAACGCGATCTTGACTATGCCTTTCTAAAGCCGACTCCTCAGCCCACCTCATCATCTTTAGATGTCACCTTTAATGTTGTCAAATGTTACTATACTCTTACCCCTTCTAGTGAAGTTATTCCATCCGTAGTTGATATTGTTCCTTCCCAAGCAATCTTAAAGAAGTATGAAAAGGATAATAAGACAATTCGTGGTTTTCTCTTAAGTCACGTGTCGAACAAACTTTTTGACATATTTCTTAAGGAAAAAAGTGTCAAGACAATATGGAATACGCTAGAGAAGAAGTATAGAGCTGCTGATGTTGGTATAAAAAAATATGTAGTGGGTGAGTGGATCAAGCTCCAAATGTTTGACGATAAGTTGATCATGAATCAAATCCATGATTATGAGAAACTAGTTTCTAACATCCTAACTGAGGGCATGAAGATGTGCAAAGTCCTGCAAGAAAATGTCCTAATTGAGAAGTTACCTAAGTCATGTTTCGACTATCGTAATTCCTTGAAGCACAAGAAGAGTGAGTTCACAATCGAAGAGCTAGTGAGCTATATAGAGGAAGCCAACCAAATCAAGGATAAGTTGACCTCTTCTAGTAATTGTAACACCCCCAACCCGTATCCGACCCGGATACGAGTCCGAAGTGTCACATTGACTTTTTAAACATTCATTCGTATAAAATAGTGGGTAATTTAAAAACTTTGATAACATTTAAATTATTTCAAAACGTTTACAACAGATATCAGAGTTCATACCATTTATATCTTTAGACTACATGCCAACTACACTCTGTAAACAGTACATACATTTTCTGATCTGACATTTGGTAAGGAAAACTGACCTGTCTTGCTCCGCATTACCCTTTCCTCTTCTCGAAACCTACGTGTGAAACAATCACACGCTAAGTCGAAGACTTAATGAGGCATAACGACTTACAATGCACTTCATAACATATATCAATACAGGCATGTTCTGTTCTATCATGTTATACCAATTCCATGCATTCTTCGTATCATATAAAATCATATCAGATTAATTACAGTAAATACATACAGACACATAATTCAT